TTTAACTAAAAATTTTTTAACACACCCACTTTTAAAGATATATATATATATATATGTATGTATTTAAAAGTTCTAGTTAAAATTTATGTGTATTTTAGTATGTTTTATATTTCTCATTAGCAGCTCCAATTGAAATTTTACATTAAGTAATTTTATTAGTATTTTACTTTTGGATGTAATGAGAGCTATAAGTTTTCTCATCATTCTTACCCTTTATTTAGTTATTATAATACTAATAAAATAATTAAGGACATTTCAAAATATCTTGTTTGTTTTGAAAAAAAAAAAATTATTTATTATCATAAATTAAACTCTAATTACATTGAATGTGTTATATTTTTTATGATATCAAAAAATTTCATAATAATAGTTGCACACAATATTATATATAATGCATTTTTATTTTTTTTTTATAGATTTGAAGTCCTACTTTTACTTCAAAAAAAATAAGAAAATTCCAATAAAAATGACAACAAGAATATAACGATTTTCTTATGTGAATTGAGAAAATCATGTCTTTTGTTTTCTTAAATATATTTTACCTTATTGTGACTGTATAGATTTATTAAAATGTAGTACAAATGAAAAAGGTGATAGATTATGTAAAGTATAATTTATAAATTGCAATGACATGTTATTTTGATGGTATATTTTTTCTATTAACTAAGTAATGCCCCCAATATGAAACTATTTTGGAACTATCACTGCAATTAGCTTTCCAATGGAACTTTCATTGAGTGTTTGCACAATAGCAATGACAATTTTTCCAACGATTGAATATGGTCCAAATAAAAAAATCCAATGAAAATTCAGGTAATTGAAATATTTAAATCCACTAAAGTTCATGTAATTTAATTTGAACTTTGTTAGAATAGCCAATGAAATTTTCCAATGAAAGCAATATTTATTATATATTCGTTGGAATTTCCAGTAGAATACCCTACCGTTGAATTTTTCATTGTAATATATCAATTTTTTGTAGTTCTCTCAAACATTAATTTTTTATGTAGTAATTATTGGTTAATTGTGTTTACAATTTTTTTTATTAAAAATATATTAAACACATGAACTTTTTAGTTCCTACATATTTTTTTTTTCTCAGAAATCACTCATTCTTTTATATCAAGATTACCGATTAATTTACCAATTGAGTTACATTTCTTACATAATAAATATTAAATAATTAAAATATTTCTGGTTTTATATGTTTAATATGATTATATATTATATTAAAAAAAAACTAATATAGTAAATAAAAAGTTATCTAAAATTAGAATACTAAAGATTTTTTATTCTATCCTACATGGATAAATGTACAAATAACTATTGTCTATCACTTCAAATTTACACATAAAATTAGTAAGGACAAAAATGTAATAAGCATTTAACAACTCAGCTTGTTTACATCGATAAGTATATTTTTAGAAGGTTTATATTTAGTTCAATTAATTATAAAATTTTTTATTACTTTGTTTCATATTTATTAGTACGTGTCACGACTTAGTTATTTTTCATATTACTTATCACATTTAATATTTTTTAAACTTTATCTTGTTATTTTATTGCAATATAGCAATTTTTTGTAGTCCTCTCAAACATTAATTTTTTTATGTAGTAATTATTGGTTAATTGTGTTTATAACTTTTTTATTAAAAATATATTAAACATGTGAACTTTTTAATTCCTATATTTTTTTTTTCAGCAATCACTCATTATTTTATCTCAAAATTACCTATTAATTTTATTACAATTTTTTAATTAATATTTTAATTAAATATGTACAATTCATAAATTCATAAAATTTTTAAAAATATATTATTTTCATTGATTTGCTTATGTTGAATTGAGAAAGTTATGTTTTTTTTTTAATTATATATAGGGACGATATAAGATATGATGACATTAGTATATTACCAATTTGCCATTAAAAACATGTGAAAGTAAGAGTTTTTTAGGTAGTTCATTTTTTAATTAAAACTATAAATAAAATATGATGTGTATTAGTGTGTTACTAATTTGCCATTAAATTTATGTCAAAGTAAGGGTTTTTTAGGCATTATGAACTTTTACAAAAATACTCCTCCTTTTAAAGTAGTATAGATATAGATATAGATTATTACAAGACTCGCGTTATTTTTTACATCATGTGATTGAAACATTGAGGCAAAATTTAAAAAATAGTCGTCATTTTCCGAAAAAGATCTATAATATAGATCATCATCACTTACTTTCCCAATCCCCAAACCTACGAACCCGCTTGACTTGACCTATTGACTTGCAGACAGACCTTCGGAGATGTTAGAAGGTGCAAAATCGATGGGTGCCGGAGCTACTCGAATTTTTCTGTTTTTTTTTTCTGCAGTATCTCGACGTGACATGAGCGTGAAAGGGGTTTAAGAATCCGGCTAAAATGGTCCACTAAGTTTCCATTTACATCAAAATTTATACAAAAATCAAAATATTGTACTAAAAGTGATCGTCATTTTAGTACACTGTTGGATATTGCACGAGTTCTGATTAAAGTGAAAACTTAATGGACCATTATTGATGACACCCTATATGATGAACATTTTTCGAAAAATAGCTAACATAGTGGACTTAAATGAAATTTTACAGAAAAATTGATCGAATCATGAACTAAAAGGTATTATAAATGGGAAAATTAAATTAAATTCAATAATGCAGCTGAATTAATCACATACTATAATATTAGGATATATAAATAATATCATAAATTGATGCGTGCAAGTCAAGTCAACACCCTTCGAATTCAATGTTTCGAAAACAGTTGAAAACCACTCTAACCATGCGGCAGAATAAAGGCAGGCTTGTAAGGCAAGTTAGAATCACAATTCACAATCTTTTATATACAACGAATAAATCTATCATATTAATAAAATTATATTAGTGTTATTTAAAGTAATCAGAGAATATGGTAGATTTACTTGTTGTTTATAGAAGGTTGGCTCCTTAATGGAGCCAACTGTTGCCTTTATAGCAAAAACGTTTAATTTTACTAATGATAATTCTTTTAATATAATACTATTATCTAACTTATAATTTTAGTAAATATACATATATATAATTTATAATAATTTGAATACATATACATGTTGGCATGATTAAATACTAGTTTGTAATAATTTGGTGGAAACATAACGTTTGTATTTTACTCGTTTTCTAATTAATGTTTGCGTGAGTTAAGTGGAACCAAATTGGCTTACCTTTTGCTTATTATCTTCCGCATGAGTGCCCGATAATTTTGACGGCAATAGAACCAAATTACCTATAAAAAAATAAATTAAACGGTGTTTGACATTGTCTTTACCAAATTAAATATACAAATAAATTAATCAAGATTTACACATTGTTTTTAAATTAAATCGTGTTTGACACAGCCCGACTGGATGGACCGAGAACCGACTTATAACTATCTAGTTCGCTTGAATAAAATATTTACTATTGAATCCGTCAACACCAATCGGTGAACTGATAGGATCGATACGATTTTCTAAATAAATTTTGCTATATTTAAAATTATTTTAAATAAAATTACATATTTAAATAAAATAGAGATTTATAAATTGTTTATTAATTAATTTAAGTATTTAAATTTTTAAATTGTTTTAATATTTAAGTAACACATTTTATTTGAATTTATTACAAAAAGTACTATATATATATACATATACAATTACATATATATATATATACATATTAAAGCGTATTTTGAAAGAAAAAATTAAATTGTATGATTTTTATAAATTAAATTTTATGATTATAATAAAACATATTTATTAATTAAATTGTATAATTTTAAAGAAAAAAATAAAAAAAAAAATAAAACTATTATTTATGGACTGCATTTAAAATGCTGCCCTATAAATTTTACAATGAGTGCAATCCTAAATAATGATTAATTTGATATAAGTTATTTTGAATTTGTTGAATAACATAACTAATTTTGAAAACATTGTTTGTGTTAGGTTTAAATAAAATTTTGAGTGTGTTAAAATAATATTTAAAATATAATTATTAAAGATGATTTGAAAGTAAAAGAGATATGATTGAGAGTGGGGTGTTGTTATGTGAATGAATAGTGAATTAAAGTTGGTGTAATATGTGATGATTATTGATATTAATAAATTTTTTTGATAACATTGTGAATGTATTATTGACTTAAATTTGAGTTAAAGTTTTAACTTAAATAACTATTTAATCAAAAGTGACTAGATAATTGATATCCACTAGTGATAAGATAATTCATATTCAATCAAGAGTGTATTAATTTTAGATTCTTAAAAACTTGTTGAAATTTTAAAAAACATAGTATTTAACTAAAACTTTTTAAAACTTCTAATGTTTTTTAGGGGTGTGCGCCGGTCCGAGAATCGGCCCGGCTATATCTAAGGGCTGGTTCAAATGACGACCCGACTTGCCGGTTCAATGTTTTTTTAAAAGAAAAATAAAAAAAATTAAAAAAAAAACCAATTATGACCTGTTTTCCAACCCAAGACCAGTTGCCCGACGGGTCAAAAAGAACTAAAACACGACCTTGAACCGACCTTAAGAGGTGTCGGGATCGGTTCCAGGCCAGTTCGACCCTTGGCCATGTCTACATATAGAGCAAACTTGTCTAAAAGTTAAATGCCATCACAACAAAATAGTGTTGCTTTACGGCAAGGACAGCGACACAACGTCAAAGCTTAAAATTTACGCCAAATATTTTAGAAAACAATCTGTCAATGTCCTTTATTAAATCATATAACCTGACTGTACCGCACGAGATGAAAACTTTTACAAAATAGTATCAAACCATTTTTAACTACACAAGCAGCAAAATAACATGAAAAGAGCCAGAGTATGTCATCGCCTTATCTCAGCTACACATCACAAACCAAACAAGTATAACGATCATATCAATTTATCAAACACACTGTAATTAATATCAACTTCTAATAAACACAAAATTGTGAACCCAATACCACCAAAAGTCACCATCATGGCTGTTCCGCCTCTCGCGATGCATCTGGTACAACCATCCCGGTTGCTGCCGCCATCTGGGGCAGCAGAGGGTTGTAGTACACGGGCACATTGTTCTGGTTCACAAATTCATAACCGTAAGCAGCATTCTGTCCCGAGGGAGGTTGATAAATGGGACTGAGCCCGACAAACTGTTCTGAGCCAGAAGTCACTAGTTTTGGCCCAGTGGAAGGAGGAACACTTCTCGACTGATTGTAAGGCAATTGATTCGGCACGAAATAAACGGGGTGGTAATGATGCTGGTTTTGGAGCTGGGGAGGGTAGATCGGGTAATATGATGAAATCGGCACTACATTAGCCGAAACGTATTGGTTACCGGCATGAATGAACGTTTGGGGTCGATGTGGGTTCTGTTCGTATGGGTCGGGTAGTACGTAAACCTGTTCTTGAGCACGAGGTTGTGTTTGGGACTGGGTGTTATTTTGATCCAAGGTTTTGTTTTCTACTTGATTAGTTGAAATCTTGGTGTTGGTAGCTTGAATTTGGGTGAATGGTTCTTGATATATGATAGCTTGTCTTTGGCTGGGCATTGAATTTGTTACACTTACCTCACTGTTAAACAATTGAACAAATAATCAACATCCTAATTCAAATAAATCGATCAAATAAAATAAGCATAAAAATGAATTTATGAATGCTGAATAGGGTAAAATTGT